TTGTTGTCGAGAGTTTCTGACTAGTGCTTTGGAATTTGTGAGTTTTGTTTTGCTTCTTACATGCATGCTCTGATTGGGTTTAATTTGGGGGGTGGGGTGGCTATTGTTGTTTATTCTGTGACGATCTGATTGGTTAAGCCAGTTTGAGTTCCATTGGGAAATTAAGTGGGCCTAGAATGCTTTAAAATAAATAAACATCATACTTCAGAACGTAATTGAGAGTATTTAGCATCTACTGGACTAAGTTCAATGTGCTGGTTTTGGTGTATAAAGCCTTATATAGTTTGGGGACAGGATACCTGACAGATTATCTAATCCCTTATATACCCAATACATCACTGTCATTCCTCTTCCAACCAACCTTTTATAGAGAGATGTTTCCTAGCCTGGATCTATACTGCAATAGTTTTTAGATGTTTTATCGCTTGTGGGTTTGCCATCCTGGGCTCCTTTGGGAGGAAGTGTGGGATACAAATTTAATAACTAAAATAGATAACTGTGCACCCTGCTTTATTCCACTCACACCCATGGGCATGACGTAGAGCTTGTAGGTGGGGGCACTTGAAATTCCGCACACATGTGCTATAAGCCTTGAGATGGGTGCCTTTTATGACCCCCATTTATTCACTTTTTAAAAAATCAACATTTTAAATTAACACTAAAATATTTATATATAGCGAAAGAAAGGTGTAGCACTAGAACACCACAGAGTTATAATAGTAATTTACTGTGGTGCTATGACACTATGCTACAATAGTGCTGAGGTGTGTTTAAAAAAACAACACATTTTTGTTCACTGCCATTTTAGCAACAGGATTAACATCAGTGACTGAAAAAGAATTTGTTTTTTAATCTTTCTTTCTTTCTTTCAAAAATATATAATCAGAAAAAGTATTTTAGTGATAATTAAAAGATTAAAATGTTATGATATTATACTGAAGGTGTCCTGAGCTGTGATAGGTTCGCTATCCACCCTTTGAATTTTTTTGGAAGAGAAATGCTAAAGGCATCTGCATCTGTGGAGATTGCGCTGCTATTATTTTCTTTTGGAAAACGTTGAGTTTTTGTTATCTGAGAAGAGATGGAACAGCACCCAGAAAATTCAACTGGACGATGATTGGACGATGGTAGCATGTGGATGCTCTGTAAACAATGAATGAATGAATGAAGCATGGCAATTCCATGTCTCTAGTGGGAGCCTTGCAGCTCTCTGCTGAAAGTGATCAGCCAGTAGGAGGCAGCCCATTTTGCAATCCAGACTACTGTTCCACTCCAGAGGCAGATGACTGGGACCAGCCACATCTGCAGTGCTGAAGTAGAGGAGGAAAGTGGAGCTGCTAGGTGTCTCCCCCTCAAAGACTGAGTTCATGGTCACCTCCAGAGCCAACACAAGGGTGATGCTGCTCTTTGTTTGTGTCTTCTACCAGTGTTGATTGGTTATTTGCCATGAGTTGGGGTGTGTTATGTGTGGTATGATTCTGTCGTTGTTGGCTGGCAGATATATTGTATGAGGTGGTAGATGGTTGTAGTGGTTGTGTGCTTTTATGTTGGTTGGGAGTTTGTATTGTGCTGCCTAGTGATTTTCTCTTATCTTGGCTACATAGGGTTCTTGCAGATATGGATCCAGCGCTACCTTGGTTCTCAAACATAATCCCTTCTGGAAGTCTGTTCGACTTCCAAAATGTTTGAAAACCAAGGCGCGGCTTCCGATTGGCGCAGGCGCCCTGGAAGCAATAGCCGACAACCACACCAGGCATTCAGGTTCCAAAAAATGTTCAAAAACCAGAACACTTACTTCTGGGTTTTCGGCGTTCAGTTCCGATTTGTTCGTCAACTAAGCTGTTTGAGAACCAAGGTTCTACTGTGTTGCGTATTTATGTATTTGTATTTTTCTTAATATAAATAATTTGAAACTGTGCTTATTGTGTATTTACACATTTTGATCATCTCCCCCTTTTTTTCTTTTTTTGCCCTGAAAGTGTATCAGCAGCTCGCATGGAAGGAAGAGATTTCAACCAGGAAAATAGTGCGGGGAATGGTTAAACAACCTCTTCTCCAGTGCCATTGCCCTTTGTCAGTTTGCTCCCTTCCCACCACAGTGGTTAAACCTAGGAAGCCACCTTATGTTAAGTCAGACCATTGATCCCTCAAACTCAATACTGTCTATAGTGACTGACAACAGCTCTCCAGGGCTCTACCTGAAGATGCCAGAGACTGAACATGGGACTGACTTCTTGCATGCAAATCAGATGTCCTGCCACTAAGCCATGGCCCTTTAAGGTTGTTTTTTTTTAAAAAAAACCATCACACTGCAGAACCTTCTAACGTGCAATTTAGCCTGTATCCAGGGCCAGATTTAGTTTTGATGAGGCCCTTAGCTACTGAAGGTAATGGGGCCCTTTATATGTCCAGCTGTCCTTCGTCAACAACAAATAGCCGCTGTTTTTTGTGTTGAATATATGCTGTGTGGTAATTTATGGACCTAATAGGTATCTAAAACCATTTGCGCATGTTGTATGCAACCAGTCCATGCAGAATGTAGGCACCCTATATATAGAAAGGAGCAAACCAGTGATATTTTAGGGAGCAGGCTAGCAGGCGGGGCCCATTACTTACATCATAGGAGCCTACACAACACAAAACACTGTTGCTGCATGTAGGTTTTGTTTTGTTTTCTTTATCTTATTTTGGAAATGTACGTCCAGTTTTTTTCCTTTATTTGGGGGGAGCAAGAGAGTTGGGCCCTAATCTATAGCTTGTTTAGCTTATACATAAATCCAGCACTGCCTGTATCTGAGGCTTTTGTGGTTCCACTGTATCATACTGAAGATCCCCATGCCATAATAATCTAAACAGAAGTATTTCCTTCTTGTAAGGACCTTCCCACCAACTGAGATCAAATTAGAATCAAACTGGAAATGTTTAACTGAAGGATAGCATAAAGATCTAACTTAATTACAAAAACAAAACAAAACAAAAAACAATGTAGGAAACAGGAGATATTTTGCAATTTGTGGAGCATAGTGTACATAGTTTATTCCTGCCACAGGCCCATAGCATGATTGTGTGACATCGTCACAATTCAATTTTCACAGTGTAGGATGATCACTTATGCCATCCTTAATGTAGTACAAAGTAATTAATCCATTTCCCACGCAGGAGGAATGAATATCTGAAGCCATCATCAGGCAGAATTTCCTTTGGCTGCTCTGGGAGTTTAGCAGAACCCCTAGACAGTTGCTGCTTTCTAACAGTTACAGAGCAGCGAGAGCACATTTTAAGAAGGAAATGGATGAACTGGAATGGGTCCAGAGGAAGGCAGCAAAGGGACCAAGACCTATAGCACATCAGGAGTGGGGAATCTTTGGCTTTCCAGGTGTTGTTGAACTACAATTTCCAGGGGTAATGAGAGCGGTAGTTCAGCAACATCTGGAGGGCCAAAGGTTCCCCACCATGGATACATACCGTATTTTTCGCTCCATAAGATGCACTTTTTTCCTCTTAAAATCTAAGGGGAAATGTCTGTGCGTCTTATGGAGCGAATGTGTGGTCCCTGGGGCTGGGGGGGGGGACCCGGGCTTCCCCCGCCAGCCCCACAAGCTCTGGGAATAGCGGGAAGGCTGCACGCAGCCTGTCCACTGCTCCCTGAGCTTCCCCTGCTAGCCCTGACAAGCTCCTGAGCAGCTCTGGGGTAGCCCGCGAAGCCTCCGCAGGGCAGCAGGGAGCCTTCATCCCGTTGCCCTGGCGAGGCTTCGCGTGGCTATCCCTGGCTTTTGCGAGAGGTGGGATAAGCCAGGGATAGCCGCACTCCCTTTAAAGAGCTGCGCGGAGTGTGTGTGTGGCTCTTGGGGGCTTTTTCCGGAGGAGGGAGAAAAGCCTGCAAGCGCTACACACACTCTCCACGCGGCTCATGAAAGGGAGCGCTGAGCAGAGCCTGGGATGCATACAAGCTCTCCTCAGCGCTCCCTTTAAATAATATTTGTTTTCTTGAATCCCCCCCCCCAAAAAGTAGGTGCGCCTTATGGTCAGGTGCGCCTTATGGAGCGAAAAATACGGTAGCTCTGATTAAGGTATAGCAGCTATCCTGCCTGTAGAAAGGAACCTGTGAACGAGCCAAAGATGTCAGAATTCTCGGGGCATTGCCATGTGGGTCTAAAAGAGGGGTGTCCAATTTATAAGAGACTGCGATCTACTCCCACTATAAATAAACTGGCAGTGAACTACCCATTGGATTGACCAGAGTTGTTGAGCGTTTTGGGGGGAGGGTGAGTCGAAGTTGGTCAGCTTTTTTTAGGGGGAGAGACCAGAGTTGCTGATCAGGTTAGACAGGCCTGGTCTAAAACATGAGTTGAGGCTGTGGATGAGGATTAAGTGCACTGCTGGTTTTTTTACTCTTTCACACACATTATAATCATACACAGAGACCGAGCTACAATCAAAGTGCAGTCACAGCTTCATGTACCAATTATTTCGATCGTTGCTTCATACCTCACCTTGACTCGAAGTACAACTGAAGTACAGAGATTATGTTACTCCTCATTCTGATGAAGTTCCTGCATTCTAAACTGCAGAAACCCCATGCCAGGACAGAAACAAGTGGATGGTTAGAAGCCTCTGCATAACTTTGTCACAGCAATAGATTCGACTTTGCCTAATTTTGTTTTTGCTTCATTAGGATAATGGCTAACCCGACTGTGGAAATGATGACCATCCCAAGAACTTAACTGGATTCTTTTTCCTTCTGTTTTCAGGAGCCAGATCTGACAGATCCAGATAACCCTGCAGATCCTACTGGTGCAGAGGGATCCAAAGAAAACTGTCAGAGTCCAACTCTGGGAAGTGGGATATTGAAGTACAGGAGCAGATCCCAAGGTACAGTTGATTTCATTGAGTGGGTGAATAAAAGATTTTAGAGTATGTAGTTAAGAAAGGCTCTCATAGAATCAGAGAGCTGAAAGGGACCCAATGGATCATTTGGCCAAGCCTTCAATGCAAGAATATGCACCCATACAGGGTTCAAACCGGTGACATTGGCGTTATCAGCACCACGCTCTAACCAACTGAGCTAACCCATAAGGCAATGCTCTGGCCTCGTCCACCAACTATGATTTCCATTGGGAGAGGGAGCATGGCTCAGGGACAGAGCACACTTGCCGCATGCAGAATGTTCCAGGTTCAGTCCTCATCACCTTCAGCTAAAAGGATAATCAGGTAAAAAATAGGTGACGAGCAAAAACTCTGCCTAAGAACCTGGAGAGATAGTGCTGGATTTAAGAATAAACTGCTTTTGCCAGACTGAAACTCATAATATGAGATTAGTCCTAAATCTTATAAGCTGTATATGCAGCATACTTTGTTTTTTGATACTAATTTTGACTGCGACCCTTTAAACACACCAGGGTCTAAGTGTTAAGACTCTGCTCTGAAAGTGTTTTGAGAATGGTGGTTTGCATCTGACTACTGGGATAAATTATTGCTACCCACTTGGATGTGTGTGTCTCTATATATATCTAGAGACGAAGATAAAATTTATCATCATTTGTTTATATGACTTAGGAAATTTACCCATCAATCACTTCCGAATGTGCATGCAAAATGTTAAAAGCAGTGTACCTGATTCCATCACAACTGACAGATGTTAAAAGATGCTTTGAAATGTGTGTAATAAACGGCATCTCTGGGTTTTCCCTCAGGGGCGGCAACGCGTTTAGAATCCGTAGGCGAAGATGACGAGTTGACAGTGGAAAATGGAGATGTGAATTATGAAATAGCCATGAAATATTCCCGGGGAGGGAGAAAACATTCTCTCCCACAGCATTTGGACACAGGAACCAGACAGGTGAGGGGTTGCACAGTTTACTGTCAGTCCCAATTTTCATTGTTGCGGGTTAAAGAAGAAAAGGGACACTCCCCCCTCCTAAACACAGGGACACCTGTTTGTCTTCAGGTGCGCATCCAGGTGAGGTGAGAAGGGGGAGAGTATTGGAGACATGCATTGGGTTGATACCTCCCTGAAAGGGCAGGTACTTCACCTCACCAGAAAAAGATTTCTGAAGACGCACACAAATTTTAAATCAGTGAATTCAAAGTAAAGACTAGACGTAGAATTGCCAAATGTTTGAGACATGGAACAGCAAACACTAAAAGAAAGAAAGAAAGCTTCTTTGGGAAAAGGCAAATGCGACGCAACAGTTTTGGCTTATTTCTAAATATTGTGGTTGTTTCATTTGCCCAGGAATATCATATTGTTAAGAAATCTACTCGCTCTTTAAGTGCTGCGCAAGTTGAATACCCGTGGCGACTCACCCAGCCGTCTATTATTTCCAACATTGTCCTGATGAAGGGGCAAGGCAAGGTAAGATTATTTGCAAATAGCAATGTCTCTAGTGTCTGTCAATCTTATGCATACTAATAGAATTCTGAGTTACAGTTTATATTCCCATCTTAACGCTAATTTACCTTTATATATGCCCTTAAATGTAACTTCTGGGAATACCAGTTGCGCCAGTTCGAAAATGCGGGTGCTGTTTTAAAGGCATGTGCCTTTAATGGCGCCACCGCAAACTCATGGTTCGCACTGGAATGATTTAGGCCCACATATTGGTACTAATAACCAGCACATTTAAACTGCTTGGACTGAAACATAGTTTCTGACAATTGAGTTGGTATCTCGTTGCTCCAGGTTTGGTTTGGGTTGTTGTTTATTCATTGTTTTGTTGTATGTGCTCCGATTTATATACATCTTGAAAATATCAGTAAAAATGCTTTCCCTTTTTTTTTGAAAAAAAAGTGGTAAATCTCACATCTCCTATTTTACACCATTCCAGTTTTCATAGTGGATGCTCAACCTAGCTGATAATCTTGTTTCCGCTTATTCTCGTAAGGTTAAGATGAATTAACATTTCAGTTTTCCACTCGTCTCCTCTCCACCCTCTTCCTCCCCATACTCTGCAGGGTCTTGGATTCAGCATTGTGGGAGGGCAGGATTCTGCCCGGGGACGCATGGGCATCTTTGTGAAGACCATTTTCCCAAACGGGGCTGCAGCTGCTGACGGCCGACTGAAAGAAGGTATTTGTAGCGCAAGAGAAGAGATTTCTGCCGGTTCAGCTTATGAAGCCATACACTGCAGGCAGAGGCAATAGCTAGTTGCTCCGGCACCTGGAGCAGCGCACATGCTGTCAACCCAGGGTTGGGGCCATGATGGCAGGGTGAGTGTCCCAGGGGGCGAGATGCCCATGGCGGCAAAGGAAGCCACTCATGGCAGGCTGCTTCCTGGGCGGCGGGGAGGAGCTGCTTCGCTTTGTCAGCAGCCTTCCTCCCTTCCCTCTTCCTTTTGACAGCTCAGGGGAGGCTCCCCCCCGCCCCAGGAAGGAGCCTGGGAGCAGGGGGCAATGGCCCGCCGCCCGCCCACGACTCCCAAGCCTCCCCCAAGCTGTCAAAATGAAAGGGGAAGGCTGCTGGCTTCGGGGTAGGCTTGGGAGTCCCAGGTGGGTGGCACGCTGAATGCCACCCCCCTCAGTGATGGATTCCTGAGGATTCCTGCATTGCAGAGGGTTGGACTAGATGACTCTGGGGAGCCCTTCCAACTCTATGACAATAAACCAGAAACACACCAGGGAGCCTGCTCATATTTCTCAGGATAAGCACTTTGTCTTCTGTCTGCATATTAATGCCTGTTTTGCCTTTCTAGGAGATGAACTCCTAGAAGTTAATGGAGAGTCCTTGCAAGGACTGACTCACCAGGAAGCCATTCAAACGTTTAAGGTAACATAACTTCAGGTGGGACCTTCCAGCAGTAGCAGATGATGTCCTGGAGTGGAAACATGGGTTCTCCCCGAAATATTCTATTTCCGTGGCTGCCCTTTACGTGTCTGGATCTCAGTTTCATCACATGGTGGCTTTGTTTTGATGAGCAAGGAGCCATGTTTCCCCTGAGCCACTGGGAAAACAGGATCCTGGACTAGATAGGCCACTGGCTCGATCCTGTAGGGATCTTCTTAGATCTCACATTATGTTTTTATGTTTCCCTATCAGAGTGGCGGGACGCAGGTGGCGCTGTGGTTTAAACCACAGAGCCTAGGACTTGCCGATCAGAAGGTTGGCGGTTCGAATCTCCGTGACGGGGTGAGCTCCCATTGCTCGGTCCCTGCTCCTGCCAACCTAGCAGTTCGAAAGCACGTCAAAGTGCAAGTAGATAAGTAGGTACCACTCCGGCGGAAAGGTAAAAGGCGTTTCCGTGCGCTGCTCTGGTTCGCCAGAAGCGGCTTAGTCATGCTGGCCACATGACCGGAAGCTGTACGCTGGCTCCCTCAGCCAATAAAGTGAGATGAGCGCCGCAACCCCAGAGTCGGCCACGACTGGACCTAATGGTCAGGGGTCCCTTTACCTTTACCTATCACAGTGGCAACATTAACTTAGATGTCAGTCCTAGCCCTTGGTTTTTATCAGGGGATAATAATGCCACCTTAAGTTCCATGATGACAGAAAAATGGGAAATAAATATATTCAGAATAATAAACACAATGGTAAACATAACAAACTGTGCTGTTGCTTCTTTAGCAACTGAAGAAAGGCGTGGTGACCCTCACAGTACGAACCAGGCTTCGCAGCCCAAGCCTTACTCCATGTCCAACGCCTACGTTATTGAGCCGTTCCAGCTCCCCAAGCTCTACTGCCAGTGCAGGACCTCCTTTACCCGGCTGCGAAGATGGAGATGTTTCCCCTGCAAATCGTAAGGGGCCTGGTCCCAAGGACAGGATCGTCATGGAAGTGACGCTCAATAAAGGTTTGAGGAAACTTTGGCTACTATTTACAAAGGGTTGTGGAAGATCACAGAAACCTCGTAGGCAATGGGGCTTTTTGGAGGGTGGGGAACCAAAAAACGGTAATGATACTGTGCCTACTTTAGAGCAGGCAGACTTAAAGTTTGAGGAATCTAGCTTGATTTTTTACTTTAACCTTGAGATCTACCAACCAGAGCCAGTGCCTCTGAGCACATTCTCAGCTGGGATGTAAGAAGACAGCTGTTTCCATTCTGACCTGTATTCGTCACAATCAGAGCAGTCTCCGTTCTGCTGCAGTTCGGATTGCAAACTGCTGTGGAAGTGTGGAGAACGGAAGTTAGGATTGGAAAAATGAGAAACAGAGAGAGGCGAAATTTAACAAATTCATCCATCGCAAACATGTCATTGGCAACAGATTTTCTTCTTCAATCACATGCTTTTCTCTGTAAAGGGTAAAGCCTTGGATTAAGTGAAAATGCAGGCTCACATTTTAATGACGCCCCTGAATTGGGGCAGGGTGAACCCACCAGGAAACCACAGAAGACCAAATGCTCTTCTGTGTGAAAGAGCCAGGAGAGCAAGGGAGACAGAGATGCAACCTCATTCAGCTGCATTGACCTTTACCATACCACATCAGTGGTGAAAGATTAATAACCTTCTGTGGGGGAAGCCAAGGGAGACAGGCAGAAATAGCATCATATACCTGCTGCTGTACCAGAAGCAGCAGCTCACCTGGGGAGTGGAGACACAATGCTAACTTCGCAGAAGCAGTGTTGCTGCCCCCTATTGGAAATATGGGGCTGTGAGGGTGCACCAGCAGAGCCAGCGCAGTGCTTCTGCCATTGCACCCGCAAACCTCTGACCTCACTGTCTGTTTGCCCCTTCTCCTTCCCAGTTAGTGGCAGCGACCCCTGCTGCCAGAAAGCTAACATTGCAGCTACACCTCGCTGTGTGAGCTGTTTCTGTGTTGTAGTGGCTGAACTAATCCCACCCCTACCACAAGCTGACCTATGTGAGGGAACTCAGCTGAAGGGCACCATCATATGCTTGCTGCAGAGTTGACTCTTCACCTCCACGCTTAGAGGAAGTAAACACTATTCATGTGTGAAAGGTTCCCCCTTGTTATGTACTGAGTTGAATAGGATCCAAAATGCATCAGTCTGATTGCCCCTAGAACAATCGCATTCAGAATGCAGCAGTCTGATTGGTCCTAGAACAATAGGATCCAGAATGCAGCAGTCTGATTGGTCCACAGGAACCACCCAATCCAGCTCCAGGTGGAAGTGAATCCGCAA